ACGAGGGGCCCAAGGACGTCACAGCAGACCCCCAGCAGATCCTCTCAGGGCCCTCGAGAGGGTCTCTGGATGGCCTGAGACGCCCAAGAGGAATTTTCCCGGGGGGCCCCAACAGCCTTTCGATTTGCGCTCGGAAGATGCCCCCAGGAAGCGCTCCGTCTTTTACGAGTGAGAGAACGCAGCAATTGGTAACATGGGAACACGCATGACGCTGCCCTCCTCTCCCATTCTCCGCTCCTCCTGCCTCTTCCCCCCTCTCTCTGCCCCGCTCCTCCCTCTCTTCTCGCTGCCACCCTCCTTCGTTCGATGCACGCTCGGATCTGGTGTAAAGGTCAAGCCGGACATGCCCCCCTCTACAGGAGGAGTATTCAATTTTTGTCAAACTATTAGCCAGGGGATTTGTCGATTATCTTGTTTTTTTCCATTTTTTTTTTGATTATTATTCGTTCTCCTTCCAGGATCCGCCTGCAGGAGGACACGCCCGACCTGACTGTAAGGTCGTGTGTGCGTGTGCGTGTGCGTGTGCGTGTGCGTGTGTGCGTGTGTGTGTGTGTGTGTGTGTGTGTGTGTGTGTGTGTGTGTGTGTGTGGGTGTGCGTGTGCGTGTGCGTGTGCGTGTGTGTGCGCCCCATCCGCCAATGCAGTCACTCGGCCTAGCCACCGGCGCAGAAAGTGTGTGTGTGTGTGTGGCTCTGTCGGCCAATTCGCTAGTTGGTGCCCCTGTCTAGCTTCTCGCCAGAGCGGAGTTCGCCGCCTCGCCGCTGACGAAACAAGTGTGTGGCTCTGTCGGGTTGCGTGCCCAGGGCCGTTCCCCCTCCTGTAGCTTTTTCTTTTGCATGTTCGGTATCAGCATTGCAGTCGACCCGCAGAGTAAGGATAGGCATCCCTCCCAAGGGTACCCTTGCATCCTTGCTTCCTGGGTCCATCCTTGGACACGTTCGTTGGCCGCGCCTCGCTCGGGAAGCCTCGAAGTGGGCGTCCAAGGGCCTTGCATCCTCATCGCGCGTCCTTACTCTGCGGGTTGACTGTGCTGTAGTTTGCATGTCCCTCGGGCCCCCCTCGCGGCCGCGGACTGCCGACCCCGCCCCTTCAGGGGTAACGATAGGGGGGGATAGGCATAGGGGGGGATGCATCGACCCCCAATCGCCCATTGATCGCCCATAGGGTCCGATAGCCCCAACCTGCCCAGGAGCGTGCGGATTCACTGTCGGGGGCCTATCGCCGATGTGTCCGCGATGTGTCGCCGATTCCAGGTCGACGCATCCCCCCCCTGTGCCAGTCCACCCTTTATCGTTGCCCCTCACCCCTGTTCTCAGGGCGCGGGCTTGTTCTTCCGCCGCCCCGAGGGCTTCGAGGCCGTGGGCGTCTCGGCCCATCGCCCGCACGTCGCCCCTGTCGGCCCCTGTCGGCTCGGTATCAGCATCCTCCTCCTCCGCCTCCTCCTCCTCCTCCTCCTCCTCCTCCGCCTCCTCCTCCTCCTCTTCCTTCACCTCCTCCTCCGCCTCCTCCTCCACCTCCTCCTCCGCCTCCTCCTTCTTCTTCTCCTCCTCCTTCTTCTCCTCCTCCTCCTCCTCCTCCTCGCACGTCGCCCCTGTCGGCCCCCGGCCCCGCTTCCGGGGGCGCGCTCCCCGCGGACCCCCGGCGAGGCCGCGCCGTCGCCTGCGGGCGACGGGGCGCCTCCCGCGGGCCCCCCGCAGAAGGAGGCGCTTGGGAGGACGAGGAGGTGGAGGGGGAGGGGGAGGAGGGGGAGGGGGAGGAGGATGGGGGAGAGGAGGGGAGGAGGAGGGGGGAGGAGGAGGAGGAGAGGAGGAGGAGGGGGAGGAGGAGGAGGAGGGGGGGGGGGAGGGGGGAGGAGGAGGGGGAGGCGGAGGGAGGACGAGATGTGGAGGAGGAGGAGAGGGGGAGGAGGAGGAGTTAGGAGGAGGAGGAGAGGGGGGGAGGAGGACAGCTAGGTGCGCTCGCGTCATATCTGACATCCGACCCCTCCCTCCCAACCCTACCATGGCGTAGATCCCCTCTCTACTCGCACAGTCGGATGTCGAGCAGGGCAATGATCCCGAAAGGGTACGCGATGCATTGTAGAGCACGGCATGCATGGCGTAGAAGAGCACCGCAAAGCGTAGTATCGACCTAGCATTGCATTGCATGCCGTGGCATGGCACGGGAAATGACGCCAGCGCTGCAGCGGGAGCACGAGTCGGAACGAGCGGAAGCGCGGAAATGAGGCCAGCGCTGCAGCGGGAGCACGATTCGGAACGAGCGGAAGCACGGAAATGAGGCCAGCGCTGCAGCGGGAGCACGATTCGGAACGAGCGGGGCCCGAAAATGAGGCCGGCGCCTCAGCGAGAGCAGCATTTTGGAAAAAATGCATGCGAAAACCCCTTCCGGGGAATCCTGTGTGTGAAAAAACAGTACGCGGGGGGGGCTGATACGTTCAAACCGTCATCAGGGGAAGAGGGAGAGTAGTATTCATATTGAGTAATTGTGGAGGAGGAGGAGGAGGAGGAGGAGGAGGAGGAGGAGGAGGAGGAGGAGGAGGAGGAGGAGGAGGAGAGAAGGGGCGCTCAAGCACGCGGCATCCTTGCGGCAGAAAGCCCTGAACAGCCAGACTAAAGCAGTGGCGAAGCGTCCTGGCGTGCCTATTCTAGCTCCACCAAACAATGTTCTGAGAACGTTTTCTGTGATTTCTACGATATGTGCTTAGAACATTTCTGGGTGGGACTGTCGTGGTTCAGTACGTCGGGTCTTGTTCTAAGGGCATTGTCTTGTTCTTAGAATATTGTTCGGGTTTCAGAAAGATTTCGTGGTAGGCCTGTATAGGAATACCAGGACGGTCGGTCCCTGCTCAACAGACGGGGGGGCCACGACGCGGGGCCAGCGACGAGGGGCCACGATGGACCACTGGTGTCGAGGGCTCGGGCTCCATCACTAGGCGTCAGAGGGAACCTGACCCCAACGTCGAACACAAACATGAAGGCAGCCACATTAGCAGAGCCGGCAGAGGGTTCGGAGAGCGCAACATGTATGACCAGGGAAGAACCCCTTTGGCTAAAGCAGATGTGGGGAACATATAGGTATAATTAAATCGTGCATGTCCCTCTACAGGAGGAATACTCAAACATAGTCAACATAAATAGTCTGGGGACGACTTTTCGACTACTGTCGAGTGTTTTCCAATGTTTCCTCAAAATCCGTCTGTAGGAGGACATGCCCGACCTGATCCTCACCCCTCGGGGGCCCCATCGATTTCGATCCCGTGGGATCGCCCAGCGGGGGGGGGTAAAGAACACCACTCCTCCTCCTCCTCCTCCTCCTCCTCCTCCTCCTCCTCCTTCTCTACTCCCCCTCCTCCTCCTCCTTCTCCTCCTCCTCCTCCTCCTCCTCCTCGCGCCTCTCGCCTCGCGCCTCGCGCCTCGTTCCTCGCGCCTCGCTCCTCGCTCTCCTCGCTCTCCTCGCTCTCCTCGCGCTCCTCGCCCGCCCCCCGCCTCCTGACAGCGAGAGCTGTCCTCCTGGCTCACCCCGCGCCCGGTGCCGAACTCTCGCCGGGAGGGGGCTCCCATCGTCTCGAGGACGGCGACGACGACGACGACGACGACGACGACGACGACGACGACGACGACGACGACGACGACGACGACGACGGCGGCGGCGGCGGCGGCGGCGGCGGCGGCGGCGGCGGCGATGTCGACCGCCAGCCTGCGGCCTGGCGCGCGGCGGCCGCCGCCGCGGCGGCGAGGACTACCTCTTCCTGGGCGACTTCGTCGACCGGGGCGCCTTCTCCCTGGAGACGGCGGGGGCCCCTTGCCGCTGGCGCGAGGGCGAGGGCGAGGGCGAGGGCGAGGGCGAGGGCGAGGAGGAGGAGGATGAGGATGAGGGTGGCGATGATGCTGATGATGCTGCTTATGATGATGGTGGCGGTGATGATGATGGTGATGGTGATGATTATGATGATGATAATGATGATGACGACGGTTATGATGCTGATGCTGATGATGCTGATGACGATGATGACGATGTTGGTGGCGGTGGTGGTGATGCTGATGCTGATGCTGATACTGATGCTGCTGCTGCTGATCATGATGATGATGATGATGATGATGATGATGATGATGATGATGATGATGATGATGAAGCTGCTGATGCTGATGCTGATGATGAGGATGATGATGATAGTGATGCTCATGCTAATGATGATGATGGTGGTGGTGATGATGATCGTGATGACGATGATGATGATGCTGCTGATGCTGATGATGATGCTGATGCGGATGATGACGATGGTTATGATGCTGATGCTGATGATGAGGACGATGATGATGATGATGATGGTGGTGGTGGTGGCGGTGGTGGTGATGGTGATGCTGATGCTGATGCTGATGATGATGATGATGATGATGATGATGATGATGATGATGATGATGATGATGATGATGCGGAGGAGGAGGAGGAGGAGGAGGAGGAGGAGGAGGAGGAGGAGGAGTTGGAGGAAGATGAGGGCGAAGGAGTGACTAGGATGCCTCCCCTCTGAAGGTGGTGCGCCCCCCCTGCAGGTTGCAAGATGGGGGATAGATCGGGGTCTCGGTGGTCGAGGCGTGTGTGTCTGGGTGCGTGATGATCTTTGTGGTGGTGATGGTGATGGTAATGGTGATGGTGATGGTGATGGTGTTGGTGGTGGTGATGATAATGCTGATGGCTGGTGATGATGATGACGATGATGATGATGATGATGATGCTGGTGACGATGATGATGATGATGATGATGATGATGAGGAGGAGGAGGAGGAGGAGGAGGAGGAGGAGGAGGAGGATGATGATGATGATGATGATGATGATGATGATGATGATCTGCTGACGCTGCTGCTGATGATGATACCGATGATGATTATGGCGAGGATTGATGGCCATGGTGACGCTAGTGATGATTGTGATGCTGTTGATGATGATGATGATGAGGAGGAGGATGACCCACATGAACCCAATGTGCATCAGGTAATTATGCTGCAGTGCGCTCTCCCGTCTCCAGACCCCTCACTGCAAGACGCGCCCTCTCGGAAAACCAACGCCCTTTTGGCGAGAGTCCCGTATTGAAAAGGAACTGTCTTGTATCCATGTTGCGCATCGCCGGTGGTGCGACGGGTTATGATCATACAGCTCAACGAGGTGTCCATCGACGCCGCTGTGTTGTAAACAGCTCGCCCCACATCCGTGTAACTGCTCCATCGGATGAGTTTCGAGCGAGGGCCCCATTTTCAGAAGGATTCGCTCTCCATCCGTGTAACTACGTATTTTAAAGTTTTGGGTTTCTGGATTGATGGAAATTTCTAGCGATATTCCCATTCTAAAGCAGAGCCGTCTTCCATTCCTGTAGCTGCGTCGGATCTTAGACGACCCGTTTTAAAGAACGGGACCGACCTCCATCTTGTAGGAGTTGCAATGTGTGAGACGAGCGTGCGCGGCGCTAAGGCGGTAACTTCTTGGGTTCAATCCGTGAAGTTGTCGCAGGCTCCCAAGACGGATCTGCGCGGCGCTGAGGTGAGCGCTCAAATTTGAACACCTCCCTGCATCCGTGTATCTGTTTCGAGTTCAAGTTTCATAATCATAGGGTGGTACAGACATCTCATGCGAAACACTTGGCCCGCCCAACAGACACGTCTCGGGATGCGAAACGGGCGTGTTATTTACAAGGGAAGGCGTTGGAGTTCGAGGAAGGAGGTGGAGGGTGAGGACAGAAGGATGATGATGATGATGATGATGATGATGATGATGATGATGATGATGATGATGATGATGATGCTGATGATGCTGATGATGCTGATGATGATGATGATGATGATGATGATGATGATGATGATGATGATGATGATGATGATGATGATGATGATGATGAGGAGGAGGAGGAGGAGAGGAGGAGGAGGAGGAGGAGGAAGGGCACGGGATAGGACGGGCGAGGAAGCTAGTGAAAAGGATGAAGGTTGTCGATCCTCGTCCTCCTCCGACTCCTCCTCCGTCTCTACCTCCTCCTCATCGATTCAGGACCCTCGATCCATCTCCTCGTCTGTCCGTTCCTCGATCCTTGATCCTGGAGACTGCGGCGGCGGCAATGTCGAAAGGTGGTGTTGCTTTTCGCGCTGAAGGTGCTGCACCCGGGCCAGATACACCTGCTGCGGGGGAACCACGAGGACCCCGCCGGGCCCTGGTGCTTTCCGCGGGGGCAGGACGGAGAGGAGGAGGAGGAGGAGGAGGGAGGAGGAGGAGGAGGAGGAGGAGAGGGGAGGAGGAGAGGAGGAGGAGGGAGGAGGAGGGGAGGAGGAGGAGGAGGAGGAGGAGGATGAGGAGGAGGAGGAGGGAGGGAGGAGAGGAAGAGAGAGGAGGTGGAGGAGGAGAAAGGAGGAGAGGAGGAGGAGGAGGAGGAGGAGGAGGAGGAGGAGGAGGAAGAGGAGGAGGAGGAGGAGGAGGAGGAGCAGGAGGAGGAGGAGGCGGAGGACCAGTGTAAACCTAAGACGCGTCAACGATGTTGCAATAAACCCTCCCTCCAGGTTTCCTGTTCATAGGCCCCCCACAAGATTTTCTTCATTGTGGACATTGCTGCATTGGAAGACAACCGTTCGAGAATCCTCAATCATGTCAAAAACGCAATTCCTGCGGACTTCAGCGCCGCGAATCCACGTGACTGCTGCGTCTGGGCAATCCCAAATCGTGCCAGCACTCCGTTCCTGTGGCTCCAACACAGCGGATCAATGTAACTGTTGCGTCCTGACAATCCAAGCTCGTGCCCGAATGCCATTCCTGAGACTTCAACCATGCGAATTCTAGACACTCTCGTAAGCTTTTGGGACATGCGCGCGCCGATACGGCCAGAGCCACATTTTGAAAAAAGCCGTCCTCCATCCGTGATTATGTGATGTTTTTAACAGCTTTGCGCGGCGCTACGGCGATAACCACATTTCTAAAACGACCCGCCCTCCATCTGTGAGTTTGCTGCAATGTGGGACACATGCTCGCAGCGCGAGGGCGAGAGCCACATATCGAAAACGGCCCGCCCTACATCAGTGCAGCTGTTGCAAACTAGGCGAATGCGCGCGGTTCTAAGGCGAGAGCCATATTTTGACAACGGCCCGCCCCGTGGAACTGTTGCACACGTTGAAGACACATGTGCGCGTCAATAAGGCGAGAGCCACATTTTGAAAACGGCCCACCCTGTATCCGAGAAGCTGCTGCAAACTTTTATGGGCACAGGTGCGTGGCGGCCAGGCGAGACCCACACTTTGAAGACCACCCGCCCTCCATCCGTGAGGCAGTTGCAAGTTTCATGCTTCAGGAGCATGAGTGGCGTGGAAGTCTCAGGCGCAACGCCCGGCCCGCCCTAGCTACACGTCTGGGGGTGCGACGAGGAGGAGTTATGTGTAAGAGAACGTGATGGAGCAGGAGGAGGCGGAGGACTTGAGGTAATATGGCTTTGGGACGCCTTGACCCCGTCAGAGTGGGCCCCGTTTCCTGGAGTCACCACTCTGAAGGGCACGGTGGCCCGGTAGTGCGAACGTCTTGGGGCTGTGGTCCCGACCGCACGGAACGAGGTCGCTCTGGGCCAGGGGCATGCCGCAGGTGCAGGAATGCCGCAAGAGGGTCCTGAGAGGGCCCCCAGGGCAGTCAAAGGATGGCTTACACGTGAAGTCAGCAGTGTAGATCTTCGTGCTGGAACCCGCCAGCACAGCAGGAAGGCCTCCAGAGGTTCCCAAGAGGCCCCAAGCCGGTCACAGAGTGACCCGCCAGGCAGATCTGCAGCACGGATTTCTTCGTCGGGAAAAGGCCACTCCCAGGTGTTTGGGGCCTTGCAATCCAGGGGATGTGTTCACCCTGGTCTTTGTGACGTGCGATTGGTGCAGCTGGACACTGGTACACATCGGGCATGCTAGAGGATTGATCGATTGAGTATGGGCGTGAAGGAAGCGTCGGGATCCCGCAGAAGCGGCAAGGTTGGTGTAGCAGAATGTGCAAGTTACCCCTGATACCTGATAACTGAACACACAGCGTTACTGTGATTCCAAAAGGTAGGGGCTTGTGGGCAGGGTCTCTTATCGGGTACGCGCTGGGACAGAGATTATCCAAAGTGTGGGTAGGTTATCTTAACAGCCGCGCGGCCAGGGCAGAGATCGGAGGGCAATCGGGAAGGGGAGCGAATGTGGCTCCCATCTTGGAGGGGAATCGGGAAGGTGTCGAGCAACGATCATGTCACGAGGCTCGGTGCCACGCCATCCTTCCGAGGATGGGCTGGCATCCCCCAAACATAGACGTGCAGTTGTCTGCAGATGGGCCGGCGCGCCCAGACGCTGTCTTGCGCACGTGGGCGCAACCCCGCCTCCCAGCGGCCATCCAAGATCCTTGAAGGGGGGACTGTAGCAGTTTCTGATTGGGTCTGGTGGGATTGACAGGGGTAGGTTCCCAGAGAGTTACTTGTGACATGTTTTGCCCGGCCGTGTGACTGATTGGGCACATGGGCGGTACCGGTCTCAAAGGACCCCGAAGCTCAAACGGACAATGCGGGATTCGATTGACGCGTGAAGGGTTTTTCTGCCCCTCTGCCGCAGAGTGTTCTCTCTCTCTCTCTCTCTTTTTTTGTTTGAGTTTGTTTGTTCTCTCTCTCTCTCTCTCTTCGTAGCCGTTCGTGGCCCAAGCTGTTCAAGAGGCCAGGCGAAACTTTCGGATTGAACGAGGGACGAGGCGCGCTGGGAGGCCCAAGGGCAGCCCCTCAGCACGAGGGGGCTGATCGATCATAGAGTTAGGTCGGGCGTGTCCCTGTACAGGAGGGATCTCCAAAAATAGTCCAAAAACAGTCTGGGGACGATTTTCTGAGCATGTCTTAAACATTTTTGGGTGTTTTCGGGTATTCCTAATTTTTCGCCCAAAATCCCCCTGTAGGGGGACAGGCCCGACCTGATCATGGGGGCGGCGCTGGCCTTCAGAGGGCCCCGGCGCGCTGAAGCGGACAACATGCGGGATCCGGTCGACGCGTGCAGACTTTTGTTGTTGTTCTCTCTCTCTCTCCCCCTCTCTTTCTGTAGCCTTAAGTCGGGCGTGTCCCTCTACAGGAGGGATATCCAAAATGGGCAAAAAATAGTCAGGGGGAGATTTTTATGGACTGTTTTTGAGCATGTCTTGAATCTTTCTGGAGTACTTTTAATTCTTCGCTCCAAATCCCTCTAGAGGCTGTAGGGGGACAGGCCCGACCTAAGTGTAACCGTTCGTGGCTCAAGCTGTTCTAGATGCCGGGTGGAAGCAGCATCTGGTCCGTGACGTAGGCCCCCCCTCTGCCGCAGCCATCAGGTGAGGCCCAGCCTTCGACCAGACAGGCGATGCCCAACAGACCTGGTCACGCTGCTGAGTAGATGTGCGGTGCGTAGGGCCCAGCATCAGTGGGTACCCCTGTTGATCACTACTTCCGAGCAGTCGGGTGAATGAGGCTACCAAGAACCCGACCTACCCCAAGAAGCTAAGCAGGTGAATTGCACGCTCAAAAATCTCCCCCCTGGGACGGGGGAGGGGACGGCGATCTCTCTTTTGCGTTACTCGCCATGACATCGCCATAAGGGAAACGAACCGTGGTAATCTGAGAGACGCGAGAGTGTGCAGGACCGCTGGCCTTACCTCCAAACTGTGTCTTTGAGGCAGCTGCCTCACGACGGGGATAGGCACTCAGAATATGCGGATGCAAGATGGCCGGCACTGCCGCCAGCCAGCGTCCAAAAAAGGACGGCAGCGGTAACCGGATAAACGCGATCCCTTGCCGCCAGACTGGCCTCGAGGCAGCGCAGCTGCCTCGCGACAGGGATCAGCGCGCAGCGTAGGCGGATGCACGAAAGCTGGCATTGCCGCCAGCCGGAGACCACGAGGCGACGAACAGTGGTGCCCAGGGGAACGTGAAAGTGCACAGGGCCGCCGGCCGTGCCGCTGGGCTCCGTCCTCGAGGCACCCGCGCGCTCTTGGCTGTCCCCTGGAGGGAGCGAGCGAGGTGACGCAGCACGTTCGCATTTTCGCCAACATGCAACGTCGTGCAGGCGCCGTTTTTCAGCGCGAGGTACTCCTCGGTTCTCTCCGGTCACCACGGTCCGCCTCTTTTTGCACGCTGGCTGGTGGCCGTTCAAGCTCTCGTGCATCCACTGACTCTGCGCGCTTGCCCCCGTCGCGAGGCAGTTGCCTCAAGGACGCAATGCGGCGGCACGGCTGGCGGGCATGCGCATTATCGCGTCGCTCGTGTTACCATGGTCCGTCTCCTTTCGGACGCTGCCTTGCGGCATCTGCGCATCCGCGGCGCAGATTCTGCAAGCTTGCCCCCCTCGTGAGGCAGTTACCTCAAGGGCGCAGTCGGCGGCAAGGCCAGCGGCCCTGTGCTCTCCCACATCTGTCCGCTACCACGGATCATCTCCTGTTGATGGCCGGCTGGCGGCAATGCTTGTTTTCGCGCGTCCACAGATTACGCGCGCTCTCATCCTCGTCGCGAGGCAGTCGCCTCAAGGATGCAGTCAGGCGCCAAGGCCAGCGGTCCTGCGCACTCTCGCGTCTCTCCGGTCACCAAGATTCGTCGTTTCTTGGGCGCTGGTTGGCGGCAGTGCCGGCTTTCGTGAACCCACACGTCTGCGCCGTTACGCCTGTCGCGGGGCAGTGGCCCCAGAGACAGCCCGGCGGCGAGGCCGGCGGTTTTGCGCACCTTCGCGCTTCTCCGGTTACCACGTTTCGTATCGCTTTGGGCGCTGGGAGGCGGCGGTGCGAGCTCTCGTGCGTCCACAGATTCTGCGCGCTTGTCCCCGTCGCGAGGCAGTTGCCTCAAGGACGCAGTCCAGCGGCAGGGCTGGCGGTCCTGCTCGCTCCTCGCGCTTTCTCTGGCTACCCCGGTTGGTCTCCTCTCGGACGTTGGCTCGGGGCCTGGAGGCGTGTCGGCTCTCGTGCGTCCACAGATTCTGCGCGCTTGTCCCCGTCGCGAGGCAGTTGCCTCAAGGACGCAGTCCAGCGGCAGGGCTGGCGGTCCTGCTCGCTCCTCGCGCTTTCTCTGGCTACCACGGTTGGTCTCCTCTCGGACGTTGGCTCGGGGCCTGGAGGCGTGTCGGCTCTCGTGCGTCCACAGATTCTGCGCGCTTGTCCCCGTCGCGAGGCAGTTGCCTCAAGGACGCAGTCCAGCGGCAGGGCTGGCGGTCCTGCTCGCTCCTCGCGCTTTCTCTGGCTACCACGGTTGGTCTCCTCTCGGACGTTGGCTCGGGGCCTGGAGGCGTGTCGGCTCTCGTGCGTCCACAGATTCTGCGCGCTTGTCCCCGTCGCGAGGCAGTTGCCTCAAGGACGCAGTCCAGCGGCAGGGCTGGCGGTCCTGCTCGCTCCTCGCGCTTTCTCTGGCTACCACGGTTGGTCTCCTCTCGGACGTTGGCTCGGGGCCTGGAGGCGTGTCGGCTCTCGTGCGTCCACAGATTCTGCGCGCTTGTCCCCGTCGCGAGGCAGTTGCCTCATGGACGCAGTCCAGCGGCAGGGCTGGCGGTCCTGCTCGCTCCTCGCGTTTTCTCTGGCTACCACGGTTGGTCTCCTCTCGGACGTTGGCTCGGGGCCTGGGGGCGTGTCGGCTCTCGTGCATCCGCAGGTTCTGCGCGCTTGCCCGCGTCGCGAGGCAATTGCCCGCACACTCGGGGGTTCGATCCAATTCACTTGACATGTCAGCGTTTTTGCCAACATGCAGCGTACCGTATGTTACGAACTTGCAATAGATTTTGCATGTTTGCAGAAGGAGGAGGACACTGAGGAGAAGGACGACCACTTCACAATACAAGGAGGAGGAGCAGGAGGATGAGGAGCAGGAGGAGGCGGAGGAGGAGCAGGTGGAGGAATGTCAATACGATTGAGCATAAGAAGACAACTACGAACACTAGTAATAATAATAATAATATAATCCAGTCAACTATCTAATCCACCTGTAAGTCGGCGGGTCAGAATATTCAAAATACAAATAATACGAGTACGACGAATACTTAGGCGCACCATATTCATACATAATACCAATGTTCAGACTACTAATATTCATACGAGAAACATACTACGGACAATCAGGATAGCAACATGATGATGATGATGCTTATTATTATTATTATTATTATTATTATTATTATTATTCGTATTATTATTAGTATTATTAATAACATTATTATTATTACTACTACTATTATCATTATTATTCTTATTCGTACTACTATCATACATACTACTACTGCTAATGATAATGCGAGGAGGAGGAGAAAGAGGAGGATGATGAGGAGGAGGAAGAGGATGAACATGATGCTGATGATGATGCTGATGATGATGATGCTGATGATGATGCTGATGATGGTGATGATGCTGATGCTGATGATGATGCTGATGCTGATGTTGCTGCTGCTGCTGCTGATGATGATGATGATGATGATGATGGTGGTGGTGGTGGTGGTGGTGATGATGATGATGGTGGTGGTGGTGGTGCTGATGATGATGATGATGATGATGATGATGCTGATGATGATGATGATGATGATGATGATGATGATGATGATGATGATGATGATGATGATGATGATGATGATGATGATGATGATGATGATGATGATGATGATGATGATGATGATGAATGATGATGATGATGATGATGATGATGAGGAGGAGGAGGAGGAGGAGGAGGAGGAGGAGGAGGAGGAGGCGGAGGCGGCGGCGGTTGAGGAAGATGAGGAGGCGCGGGAGGAGGAGGAGGAGGAGGAGAAGGAGCAGGAGGAGCAGGAGGAAGAGGATGAGGAGTTGGAGGAAGGGAGGAGGAGGAGGCGGAGGAGGAGGAGGAGGAGGAGGAGGAGGAGGAGGAGGAGGCCCTGGGGCCCTCTGTTCCTCGCGAGGGTCGCCCTGGAGACCGCAGGGGCCTACCGCGGAACTCGTGGGGATACCTCGGGCCACAGGCCGCTTTGGCGGCACCCGAGATTCCGGCGATCGCAAGCATGGATCAAGGGGGCGTGGATTAGCGACGGGTCCCGTTTCCATGGGAAATCGCACAATGCCGCCGCCGAGCGAGGCGGCCCTTGCCGCATGTCTGGGGGGGGCGCCTCCCCCGATCCACGGATTTTGCGACTGCGCGCCAAATCCATGGATCGCTCATCCATGTATGCGCGCCCCCAAGAAATAACGGGCTCAGGCCGCCCGCTCATCATATCAGCACCTCCGGCCACCCGCGCCCTCCAGGATCCGACCATCAACGCCATCTACGGCTTCCGGGACGAGTGCCAGCGGCGGCTGGGGGAGGCGCGTTGGTACCCCCCTCTCCCGCCGTTGTGTTCTGCCCCCCTCGGTCGGCGTTGGGCCTTCGGAGGGGTGGGGGGAGGGGGTTTGGAGCAGGGGGACGAGGGAGGAGGGCGCCTCCTCCTCCTCCCCCTCCTCTTCCTCCTCCTCCTCCTCCTCCTCCTCCAGACGGATTGGGCCCCATGGTAAACTGGGAACGTCGACGGCTGGGGGCCAGAGAACTCGTTCGTAAGACCATGCCGAAACAGCATATGGTGAGTCCGACTACACGCGGGCTGGCATTTACACGTGCTAAAGCTACGACGGAACAGGCTCCGTGACCGATTATATATGTTCGTGCCCACGGGAACGCTTGACTGGGTGGTCCAATGCCGTGGTTTGGTCTCGTTTGCAGCTAGGGTTCAAGCTCTTTGCGGCCGGCCCCCGAAAGACCACATCCCGCAGCTTCTTGAACTCTGGTGTTACAAAGTCGGCCTGGACGTGACGCCGCAGGCACGGCCACCAAGGGTGGATAGGAACGCGATGATGGAGGCCACCCGCCGCGGGGAGAAGAAACTCGAGTTCCTTGCGGCCGTGGAGTCCCAGCCCTGCTCCGCGAAAGCTTCCAGGACAGGATCTTCGAGGCCTTAGAGCAGCTCCTAATCGATGTCGAACAGCAATTTGTCGCAGCGGGCTTCGGAAGACCACCGCAATGGAGTGATCGGTGCGCTGAGCGTCGACTACTGGAAGAGCGGGCGCTCCTTCGTGAAGGCAGATCGGCGCGCAGGAGGAACAGCGGCTGAACACACATTTCCTGCGCACTGCAACGCGAACGCCGGCGAGCGTAGAAGGACCAGATTGAGAGTCACATCGGGCAGATCAGCGAGGTGTGGGACCAGCGCAGGATGGAAGTGGCAGCAGCGTTCTGTCGGGGAGCGGCGAGATGCCGCTTCGCACCAAAGAGGGGGGACGGCCGCCGCCTGGGCCCCGCCCCACTCACCAAGCAACACTGGTTGGACGTCTGGCAGCTGGGCGGCGCTGAAGGAGGTATGAGAGTACACGAGGTGGTATGGCAGGGTTGGGTCGTGGAAAGGCGAGCCTTTCACGAATTGCGAGGTAATGGCGGTCATGGCGATCATTGCGTTGACCCTTCTCATGATCACGCGATGCCCGTTTACTGCGTCGTCCCTTGGGCCATGGAGTTGGGGGAGGCAGATAGGGAGGCCTTGCAGCACAACGCCAGGAACGGCCAAAAACGCAAGGTGGCTCCCCCTCGCGCGGCCCTGATGGAGCTATGGGACGTGTGCCTGTCCATGGAGGTTGGCCTGAACAAGCTCTGGGCAGGTGTAGGATTCGAGGCCGATCCCCCGAATATGCACAATTTCGACGGTGCCCTGGAGTTCGGCCTTGGACTTACGAGAACAAAGCAGCAGGCCCCCTTGTGTTGGCATAGGACTATGGGAATGGGATTGTTCAAGGACCATAAGGAGGGGGCCCGCGGCGGGAGAGTGGTCCACTGCCTGCTCGCGATGGGCAAGGCGTACTGCGCCAAGCGCTTGAGTCCCTTGTACGCGGCCCAAGACCACTGTTTTGCCCCAGGCAGTCGGAGAGAGAGGGTGCAATCCTTGTCAACCAAGTAGTCACTTGGCGCGCGCGCCAGGCGGGCTGGTCGTACGGCGTCGCGTTCAAGGACATGGCCAACGCATTCGGCAGCAGCGATTCGCCCACGCTGAGCGACGTGATGGAATGAGCTACTCAGCCATGCGACGATTACCTGTGCGCGGAATGTGCTCTGTCGTCTCGATTGGCACCTGCGAGGGGGACCTCCCGATGGAGACGGGCACGGGCGGCGTCATGGGATGCCCATTCATAGAGGCGAGCTCCGCGGATAATGTCCGCCCCCCTGTCGAGCAGCGGGCGGGCGCCATTTTTTTTTTTGGGGGGGGGCGCGACCAAACTACTCGCGTGGGCATGGAAGCAATGGCAGGTGGACTTGTCTTATTGTGCGCGTGCAGACGGCCTTCTGAGAATCGTCCATTTCGAGGCGGGCTTGAGGGTCCGATGTGCTGCTCGCGAGCTGAATGGGATAGATGGCGAGCTCGACCGCGCCCTCCTCCCGTTCGGCTGCGGGCAGAGCTAGGGCGGGCAGGTGGCTTCGCCGCGCCCGGGCGGGGGGAGGGAAGCAACGACTGCGGGCGATGGTTCAAGGTCCACGGCGGGCGGGGGGTCGACGGGGAGATCGCAGATGCCGCGCGCCACCTGGGGCCCTGCGCCGCGGCGACTCAGGCGTCGGCCCAGGAGGTGGAGAGGCGGGTCCAGGAGACGGCGAAGGCGTTCTACAGCACGGGCGGTCTTTGGGCCCCCCGGGCTCCGTTCCGGCGGCGGCGGACAGTCTTCGTGGGCCGTGTTGTCAGCTCCATGCTATCGGCGATGGGGCCTTCGCCCCGAGCGACGCCCAGCTGGATTGGATGGGCAGGACAATCGCGAACTACGTGCGGCAGGATCGCGATGCAGGGCTGGCTACGACGAGGGCGGGGGGTAGGATTCGCGCGCTGACGACGGCTGCGGTCCTCGGCAAGTGGCAGATGGCACCTTGCCGAGTCGAGTTGAGTGTGAGTCGACTGCGGTGGCGTCGAGCGTAGGCGAAGAATGCTAGTGCCAGACGGCAGGAATTCGTTGCGCTGTTTAGGGCCTGGCCGCGTGAAAATGACGCATCTGAGCCAATGGTCGAGAGCTGGCCGACCAGCGGCGCCCCCCTGTGGGCCATGGGTGGTTGACGACCTGTTCTTGGTCGGGCGCCGGGCGGGCGCGGCCTTGGCCCTGCTCGTGGCCGGGAGCTTCCCTTTGCGTGCGTGGTATGCGGCGCAGGTTTTGATTCGGCGAGAGGCCTGATGAATCATCTGTGTCTTCGTCATCACATGCGTCATTGATGCTCCGTCTTCGCCGTGCAAACAACCAGTGCATCTGTTGCGTCTGCGGGCGCCCATCCCGCGAGGCCGATGCCCGAGCGCAGGGCCGCGAACCATCGAGCATCGGCACCCCGTGAGGTCCACGAAAGGCCCGTTATGCGACTTCGAAGCCGGTGATCGCGAACAGCTTGACAGCCGTCTCCAGGCGCGCGTGCCTCTCGTGCCAGGGCCGCCCCGGTCCCGAATGAGACTCCGCGGCGATGGCTGGGGCCCCGTCGGCGGGGCTGCTCCTGCTGGGCGCGGGCGGGGGCGCGGCGACGAGCAGGGCGCCGAGAGCGAGCTCCTACAGACCTCCGCCAAGCTGGCGCTCTGCGTGGCCATGCCGGGCAGCGGGCGATCGGCGCGGGGGTGGTGCTCGAGATTTACTTCGCGCCAGAGGCCGGCTCAAGCCCGGGCGCCATGCGCGCGAAGATCGGCCCCGACTGCGACGCGGAGACGAAGCCCTTTCAAAGACAAGCGCAAAGGCGGAGAGCAGGTGGATTTCAAGGCGCGGTGGCCATGCCGCATTCAGGTGTTCGTGAAGACGATGGTGCTCGCGGTGCAGACCACGGCCCCGAACGGGGCCGAGGCGCAGCCGGAGGCGCGAAGCGTGCTCCACTTTCAGTGCGCGAAGGCCGAGCGGGGGTCGGCCGAGGGGGGGCTGGTCGCGGCCTTCGACCTTTCGCTCCCGTCGGCGGCGGCAATGCGGTCTGAGGTGCTTCCTGGAGGCGGAGCAGTTTGGGCGGGTGCCGGGGGCTGCTTCTTGGGGGCCTCTCGAGAGGCGCGCTGGCGACCTCCTCGACGGCTTGCAGCGCTGGGCGGCAGTGAGAGGCTGAGATCGCTGATTGCGCGAGGAGTGGTGCCGCCGGGCGTGTTGGAGAGCGGCCACTTCTTGAGCTATAGCTCGGCTGCGCTGCCCCGCGCGCCGCGCGTGGAGCTGCGAAGGCAGCCCCGGCAAAAGGCCGCGGGAAGGGGGGCGGCGGGGCGCGGGGTGGGGGGGGCGGGGCGGGGGCAGTTCTTGAGCGGCGCTCGGAGCCTGTGGGCGTGGGGCTCCGAGCGTCAGAGTCTAGCCCTATCCGGCGCCCTGACGGCCCTGGCAGTGAGCCTGCTCGTGGTCAGGGTTTTGCCCCGGCGAGTAACGTACCTAGAGGAAGGGGGGCGGGTCGCGGTCGCGGTCGCCAGGGGCGGGGGGGGGGACTTAGGTTATGTGCATCGGCCCCTTTGAGTCCGGCCCCCGTCGCGGCCCGCGTGGCGGCGCTGTGGGGGCGCTCGACGGGGCAGCGCGGCTGCTTTCCCGACAGGGGGGCCGCCGATGAAACCAGCGCGTTCGTTTTCGCCGTTCGGTGATGCTTAGCAGCCAGCTTTTCATTTCCACCTCAAAAGCTCTGGAATGTAAGCGAGTACCAGCGCTGCCGCAATCTGATTCTGATTATGATTATCCTCCTTCTCCTCCTCCTCCTCTCCCTCCTCCTCTAATTCTTTTTCTTTCTATATATATATGTATATATATACATATATATATATATATATATATATGTATCAACTCTCCTTGTCGCGCCCCCGTGTCTCGCGTGATATTTCTTCACCAGGTATGACGTTGTTGCTAAACAGTTGACAACATAAACACATATTGAGAGCGGGCCGCTTCCAAAATGTGGCTCTCGCCTCAGCGCCGCGCAGATTCAGTTTAAACATTTGCAGGAGGTTCACGGATTGAAGGCGGGTGTTTTTTTCCAATGTGGTTCTCGCCTCCGCGCCGCGCGCATTTGTTTTTACACCACGCAGAGTAGTTTTACGGATTGAGGCGGGTGGTTTTCAACATGTGTCTCTCGCTTTAGTGCCGCGTGCATTCGTTTGAACAGTTGCAGCAATTTGACGGATTGAGGGCGTGCCGTTTTCAATGTGTGGTTCTCCTCTCAGCGCCGCCCACATTTGTTCCAACACGTTGCAGGGGTTTCGCGGATTGGCCTTCGCGCCGCGCACGCTCGTTTAACACATGTGCAAACATTTCATTGGTTATCATGAGTTACGTGCCTATCGTTGTATGTTTGGAGTGCGTCAGGATTGTCAGGGCGCAACGGTTACGGTGGGGAAATCCTAGGAATGGTGTTCTGGCGCGGCTCAGGACCGCCAAGGCGTAACAGTCAGCTTAATTCGTGGCGTTGAAGCTTTGAGAATGGTGTACTGGCGCGCTTCACGGTGTTCACACGGTTGCCCCCCACGGGGCAATTCCTTCAGTGGAAATGACCCTTTTATGGGCCTATCAAGAGGGATATTGGAGGGAACGTGTATTTCAACATCTTCAGTGACTCTTGGGTTTACACTGGTCCTCGTCCTCCTCTTCCTCCTCCCTTCTCTCCTTCCTCCCTCTTCCTAGTCTATTTCCTGTTTCTTGTCCCTTTCATCATGTTTTTTTTTTTTTTTTTTTTTTTTTTTTTTTTTATCGTGGCGGGCAGATTCGGGGGGGATGATGGATGAGGAATGCATGGGGGACGGGGGAGATGCTGATAGCGATGATTTGGGCGGGATGGGGGACGGGCGTTGCTGGGTGAATGGGTGTGGAGATGAAGAGGGGAGGAATGAGGATGAATCTGAAGGTTGAGTGGGGAGGGGAGATTGATGGGCCCACAATTCTCGCGTAGAAGCGAACTGGTGAGAGGGGGGGATGATGGCTTATTCTGGACCCAGGCCGACCTTCAAGCCACTGCTTAAGCCCGCCTGAGGCGTCGATCTTTGATCCATTGTCGTTGGTTCATGCCACAGTGCCGCCCCCCTGGGATGCCCTGGAAGCTTCTCTTTTTGTTTGCGTTGTCGTAGGCCCCAAGGTGCTGTGTGACCGTCTAGGAGACCCAACGCCTTGCTCAAACAGAGCTCTGCTGAGCTGTCTTAGGGGCCTTTGGAGGGCCCCCTGGGGAGGAGGAGGGGGAGGAAAATGACGTGGACGAGGACGAGGACGAGGACGAGGAGGAGGAGGAAGAGGAGGAAGAGGAGGAGGAGGTGGAGGCGAAGGAGGTGGAGGAGGAGGAGGAAGAGGAGGAGGAGGAGGAGGAGGAGGAGGTGGCGAAGGAGGCGGAGGAGGAGGAGGCGGAAGAGAAGGAGGAGGAGGAGGAGGAGGAGGAGGAGGAGGAGAGGAGGAGGAGGAGGAGGAGGAAGAGGAGAGAGGAGAGGAAGGAGGAGGAGGAGGAGGGGGGGGGGGGAGGAGGAAGAGGGGGAGGAGGAGGACCAGTGGAAACCCAAGAGTCGGCAACGATGTTGGAATTATCCCTCCGTCCAAGCTCTTCATAGGCCCCTACAACGGTTCATTTCCATTGAGGGGACTGCCTTGTTGGAAGACAACAGTTTGAAGATCCTGAAGTTTGCCAAACAAATTGATCTCGGGAATTCAACGCCACGTATCAACCTGACTGCTGCGTCTTGACGATCCAGAATCGTGCCATAACGCCATGTTTGGGGCTTCAACACAGCGGATCAATCTAACTGTTGCGCCCGCATAATCCTGAACCCTTCCCAAACAGCATTTCTGGTATCTTGATCATGGAACTCCGTGAAATTCCACCAAATGTTGAACACGAATGTGCGCGGCGCTAAGGCGAGAGCCACATTTTGAAAACCACCCGCCCTCAATCTGTGAAACTGCTGCCACTTTTTTAGTTTCTATGCCATAAATGGTGAGGAAGTCTCAGGCGACAAGCCCGGCCCGCCCTAAAAATGGCATCGGGATGCGACAGGGAGAACGTATCTATAAGGAGGAAGAATAATGGAGGAGGAGGAGAGGAGGACGAGGAGGAGG